TGTGACGCCGTGACGCAGGCGGTGGCGTCACCGGCAGCGTGGCCGAGGCGCGAGGGCGCGGCCCGGCCCTGTGTTCCGTGAGGCGGCCACCGGTAGGGCCCGGGGCCTCCCCCCGCCGCGCCGCCCCCGGCCTGGCCCTGCTGAAACCGGGGGAACGAGGGACAGGGAAGAGCGGAAACCGGCCCGTCGGGGCCCGGTGTCGAACGGGGGCGATTCCTCCGGGGGACGGTGCCTCCTGACAAATCCCGTCACGGGAAACCTCCCTCCCCGCGGCCGGGGCCTGCCCCGCCGGGCTGTCAATGGAGACACGGGTCCTTGGGAGGGAAGCCAGAAATCACAGATATTTCAGTTAAAATCCGCTAAACTTCCCAGTATTTCCACTGACCGTCGCTCTGAGGAAATGCTCGGTCTTGGCACGATTGGAGGAGGAGCTTTTGCAAAGTGAAAATGTGATTCAACCACAAATCCCTTTCTGCACCCTTGTCTCTGCTCGGAAAGCCCCCGTGGTGTGCAGCAAAGCCCAGGTGTGACACCCCTTTGGGATTTGGGAGGGTGTTTGCCCCCCTCAGAGCAGAGTGATTACCGTGTGCTCGTTAGCAATCGAGGGATGCGACGGAGGGGCAGCAGCGGGGGCACGGGTGCTGCTCCAGCTCAGAACAAATCCCTGGTGCTGCTCCTGAGAGCTCCCGGGGGACAAAGGGCCACCAGCAGCTGTGCCAGGAACCAAGGACGTGGCAGGGTTGGCGTGGGGGGCCTCAGCCACGGGGGGTGACCCTGCAGCAGCAACTCAGGCCATGTCACACAGAATCACAGAATCACAGAATCTTAGTGGTTGGAAGGGACCTCTGAGATCATCGAGTCCAACCACAAAAAAAAAACCCAAAAAAAACCCACACCACACCAAACACCCACCAAAAACACCGCACCCACCAACTAAACCCCACACTCAACACCTCACCATAAACCAATAATCTCGGGCACTAGAGCATGCCCTGAAGAGCCATGTCTACACGTTTCTTAAATACCTCCAGGGATGGTGACTCCACCACCTCCCTGGGCAGGCTGTTCCAGTGCCTGACCACTCTCTCAGTAAAGTAATTTTTTCTAATATCTAATCTAAATCTCCCTTGCCCCAACTTCAGACCATTTCCTCTGGTCTTGTCGTTCGTCCTTTGGGAGAAGAGGCCAACACCTGCCTCTCTACACCCTCCTTTCAGGTAGTTGTAGGGGGCAATGAGGTCTCCCCTCAGCCTCCTCTTCTCCAAACTAAACATGCCCAGTTCCCTCAGCCTCTCCTCGTAGGACTTGTTCTCCAGACCCCTCACCAGCTTGGTGGCTCTCCTCTGGACACACTCCAGCACTTCAATGTCTTTCCTGTAGTGAGGGGCCCAAAACTGAACACAGCACTCGAGGTGAGGCCTCACCAGTGCCGAGTACAGAGGCACGATGACTTCCCTACTCCTGCTGGCCACGCTATTCTTGATACGAGCCAGGAGGGGAGTGGTGCTGTGGGGTGGAGATGGCAGTGGCAGGGCTGCTAACGCTCTCAGGTTTTGCTTTTATTCCAGTATTTGGCATCTCTCAGATTGATTATGAAAAAGGAGCAAGTTAGAAGGCTAAATAACATGTCTTAATTTGTCATTCAGTTAGTTTGGTGACCAAGTAATGCACTGCACTGGCACTGGCCTGTCAAACTGAGCTCTCTTGGTCTGGGGGATGCGCTCACAGCACCGACAGCTGCACCCACACTGCCCATTTCCTCATCCATACCTATCCCCAGGTCCTTGGAAAACAGAGGGTGCTGTTCTTTCTCCTTTATACTTAAGCTACAGGTGACGGGACAAATAGTGTCAGCTGCAGCTGGTGAAGTTCCACAGAGTGTGTGCCCTGCCAGCCAAGGCCAGTCCTTGTTTCTGGCAAGCCCCGAGCAGCATCTTGCTAGTTAAGAAGTCAGTGGGCTGGGTGGTTCCCCTTAATCAAGGCACTTCCACGGACTGGTGTGGAAGCTGATGCTGCACATTCTATTCCTTTGTTGTCCTGCGTAGGTCTGACAGAGTTGTGCTTTGAAGCTGAAACACGCTCGTTTTTGTTTGGGTTGTCTGTTCCGTGTCCATACATGGAACTCATAGTGGGCCTGTAAAATCACTGGGGTATGGGAGGGATCAGTAATATCTAATGCAGAGCGCAAGCGTGGAAGAGCCAAAGATCAAAATATACCAACCAAACAATGAGAGCAGCCAGAGATAGTTCGCACTGGAGGAGATAGAGATTTCCCTGGCCTGGGAGGGCAGTGGAGGCTCCCAAGGGGAGGCTGCCGTTTGCCACCTATTGGCTTTCCCGGGAACGTCTCCTCGCCAGAAAATGGCTGAAATGAAGTTAGTCCCAACATAGAAAATTACTCATCGCATTTTAGCGTGGGGTGTGTGCCCAGCAGGCCCTGAGCACGGCCTTCCCACCTTCTGCTGGGTGTCCAGAACAAATACCAATTCCTGTTCTCTTGTTTTGTCTGGTCCTATCTAGATTGACCTACTCAGTCTGATTTTTTTTTTAATTATTCCCAAATGGGCAAACAAAGGCAGAGATTGCATTGGACTCATACGTGGAATAAATGGCACACCTAGACAGAGCACTGCTGTGCCTGCATCCTGCCCTAAACCTGTGGATTCCCAGGAGATGTCCATGGAAATCCACTCTGAAGCAGATACCCTCTGCAAGAAAAGGCTGCAAGGCCCAGCACTCTCTGGCTGGAGTCAGGATTTTTTTCATGGAACTGACTCATCAGCAGCAAACACTGGAAATAAATCCTCAGGAAAAAGGTCCCTCCAGGAAAAAACAGGGTATAGAAAAGCAACCTATTTTTAATACATGACATAATACCTATTGTGGAAGCCTCGCAGCACAATTTACTGATGCAGAGCGGACCCAGGTCTGGATCAATGTCGCAGTGCGGGCAGAGCGGCAGTGAAAAGCGAGCTGTCACATGGTGGAGAGCACGGGGCCGTGGAAAGTGCTGACTGTCGTGAGCATTCATCACCAAACAATGTTCCTGCACATCTCTGCGCCGTGGCTTTCCCAGCTTGTGTGCTGGGAATCAGGCACCGCTCCCAGTGCTGTCCCGCGGCTGGCGGGGAGCTGGGAGAGACCCAGCGTTGCAGAACATTCATTTTATTTGCCAGCCTGTGGCAAATGGCAAGGGGGGGGGCTTGGGAGGCAGGATGTGCTGAGTATGAATCGCTTGTTGTCAAGGCTACGGGACCAGAGGGAAGCTGCAGCCTTCCCAGTCTGCCCACAGCCTCTGCTGAGCCTGGGAGGGCTCTCTGCCCAGGGAGGGATTGGTGTCCTCTGGCCAAGGCAGTGCCAGTGGCAGAGGGGTCTCACCCAGGGTCACTCTCAAGACCTGAATTTTCCTCCTGCCCGTTGCTGTGCCCATTCCTGTCCTGGGGCAGGAGCTGGGGTGGTGCCACGGGGCATCGGCTCACGCCAACGCTGCGCAGGGCTCTGCGGGTGGCTGTGTGTCCATGCTGAGGGCAAAAGGTAGCAAAATAAGGATTATTTCTTCCCCATGCTTTCCGAAGCAGTGTGTACTCTATTAGGTTCTGAAACAGTTGGGTTTTTTTACCAATAAAGCCTTATTTAACAGGATTTATTTGGGCGTTGCCTGCAGGTACGGTGTTGCGGGGCATACGTTGAAGAGTGTCGTGTGTTTAGAAGTCTGGATTTATCTGTGGCTGGAGGACTGCAGAGCCGAGATAGCTGCTTTAGGTGGGAGTGGCCAGTGCTTCACTTCAGGAGGGAATTATATTTATTCTTTCTGTGTTAAATCTGTGTAGAGACGTGGTGCACGCTGTGTGTATCGTGTGTACGCCTGTTGTGTGCATTCACACACACGGGAGTCTGCGTTGTTATGATCCAGAAGTTATGTGCCGTAACTACTCAACTCTAATTGTTGCCTTTCTTTAAAGTATTGAAAATCAGGCTCTTGTAGTTCTGGAAAAAAAGAAAAAAAAAAAAAAAAGTGAAGTATTGGCAAAAGATCTGAATTTTCCAGCTGCCCTTTAACATGTGCGGTTGTTTAAACCTGCCTTCCTTTAAAGTATACAGCTGTGCCCAGATGGGGCTGCTCTCTTCCCAGCAGCTTCCCGAGCTTTTCACTCAAGGTTTTTTTGTCTTTTCCTCCCGTTACTTATCGTGCCGTTAGAGTTATGGTGACGAAGAGGCGGTTGTAGTTTCAGAGCTTTGCATTCCTTGCCGAGCTGTGCCTGTGTTTGCACGCAAAGCCATCGCCTCCCCTCCAACTATTTTAATCATTCCAGCAAGGGTGGGTCGTCAGGCATTTGGCAGCGGGCTCCTTTTCTGTCGCTGAGGTGGAGTCAGCCAATGCCCTGCGAGCCTGGAAAATTTTGCAGGGCAGTTTCACTGGCCGGCCCTGCGGAGCTCTGCCATTTGAATTTCAGCACAGACCTCCCCACACTCTGCTCTCCGTTCCTGGCGTCTCTCCCAGCGCGGAGTTTAGCTGAGGCTCGGGTTTAGTTTTCCCTCCTCTCTCTCTCCCTGCAGTGACAGCTTCCCCCGGGCTCCAGCCAGGACTCCCAGCCGCTATGGAGGATACCACTTTGCAAATTATCGAACCGCCGACCGCCTCCGAGGCCTCTGAAGAACCAGCCACCGAAGAACCCATCAAATCGGACCAGATCAACGGTGTGATGGTGCTGACCCTTCTGGACAAGATCATTGGGGCGGTGGATCAGATCCAGTTGACCCAAACCCAGCTGGAGGAGAGACAGCAGGAGATGGACAGCGCAGTGACCAGCATCCAGGGCGAGCTGACCAAGCTGACGAAGGCCCACACCACCACCAGCAACACCGTCAACAAGATGCTGGAGAAGGTGCGCAAGGTGAGCGTCAACGTCAAAACCGTTCGGCAGAACCTGGAGAAGCAAGCTGGGCAGATTAAGAAGCTGGAGGCCAATGAAGCGGAGCTCCTGAAACGCAGGAACTTCAAAGTCATGATCTACCAGGTAAGGAGCTGTTCCACGACTCCTCTGTGTCCTGTCAGTGGGTGTTGTGTTTGCTGAGGGTTCTGTCACGCTGCACGGTCGGTCCCTTGCTCTCCCAAACTCCCCCGACTGTCTGGAGGTCTACGCTGGGGCGGGTCCCAAGCAGCACTGTCATTCACGATATAACATTCTCTGTGGGATCTAAGGCAAGGTTTGGTAGAGTTGCTGTGGAATTTTAACAAAGATAGCGAGAATGGCCCCGAGCATTCATTGCAACGGAGCAGAAGTATCAAAATAACCTGATTTTACTGCTTAGCTAAAAAAAGAACAAGAATGCAGGGGGTTCTGGAAGGGAGTGTTGTAAGCCCGTCTGCCAGCGTCTTTTCTACTGAGAGGCAACATGTGTATTGCTACGTGGAGAGCGATAATATTTCAGATTCGTGACATACATTTGGTAATAGCAAGAGGCAGTAACCCCGGCATCGAGGTTGATCTCACCGACCAGGACAGACAGAAAACACACAGCGGCTCCTTCAGCCCCTTTAGCACCAGCTCTGCCTTTGCCCTCGTCCTGGTACACATTTCCACGGCCTTTTTTCTTGCAGCCTGGGAGTATTGGATGTTGTCGTTGTCTGGTTTCAGTAACGGCTTTGGTTTGCTTGATGTTCAACCCCTGCGCCAAGCGTTGGGTTTTTCCTTTGATATTAAACAAGAAGAAAGAGAGTTTTCCTGTCGGGAGCTGGTCTTCCTCAGCAGAGTGAGCTCTTATGTTGGGCCCTGGGAGAGGAGCGAGTGAAATAGTTAACAATTCAGTTGGAAGCCTCTGGGTTAATAATAGACAGCGCCAGGGACAAATAGAGGCTCATCCAGTGCCGATCACAGGAAGAGAGAGAAGAAAACCAGCAAAAAAAGGGAAACTGCTTCTTACTCCAGTGTTTGAAGGGAGAGCTGTTCATAATAGGCTCAGGAATCTCCCGGCTGCGGGGGCCTGTGTGACTCTGATTCAGAGCTTAAGCATTTGTAGTTTTATCATGCCTGAAAGGCTGAAATACTCAAGCCTATTCAGAACAGACAGGAACCTGAACAGTTATAAATATATATATTTATTACAAGCTATTTGTATCAGGCTTTTTGGGGGAGGGTGGGTCTATCCATGGAAAAAGAAAATAGAACTCTGCATGTACTGCAGAAGCACCAGACGCTGCCAGACGAGAAGATTGAAGGGGAATTGTTAAAGCATAACCTTCCTGTGGGTTACAGGTGTAGGTGGGATGGTGGCAAATTTCTAGGTCCTTTGGAGACATCCTGGACATTGGCAGGTTGTCATTTTGTGAGCTCGTCATTTTGCTTTGCTGTTTCTTATGAATATTGAGTAGAGTTTTTTTCTGGAGTATGAAAAGGCAATTCTGCTTCTACAGGAAGCCAGGAGTGACCCTCTCTGGTGTGGATGGGACAGAGCAGCCCCCGGGTGAATCCGTGGATGTGGGGCTGCAGCAGGAGTTTTGTCAATCGTGAAGGTGTTGGGGGAGAAAAAAAAAAAAAGAATTATTTGTAATTCAGAACAATTTCCCAGCATGGAATTTAGTGTGATTCGACTGGGAGGCCCCAGGGCACAAGTGAGAAATTCTCTAGGTTTGCTTCGTGTGAAATGGAGCCTTTTGAGCCCTGATGGAAACCCTGGGGACACGGCAGGGGTGGCAGCGGGCGTGCGGGCCTGTGACCGACTCTGCCACGGCAGGGGAAGGTCTCTCTTGCAGGAGAAACTCCTAATTATCTCTTAGTTTGGTGCTTAATTTAAGAATAAAACTCTACACAGAAAGGAGTGATACTTGTGGGGGGGCATCGTAACAGCATTTATCAACCCGAGGGTGAATTGAACGGTGGTGTTTGTTGCAAGAAGCCTTGTTGATTCCCTCTGGGTTCCCTGTTTACTAACATCCTGCTGTGTTTCCCTATTAATAATCATGAAATTAAAAAAAAAAAAAAATGTTTCAAGAGTCTATAAAACCAAAACTTTATGAGGGGCTCCACCCTGGGAATTTAAATGAGGAGAATTCACTGTGTTTTCCTAACTGGGTCTAGCATTAAAAAAATAATTACAAAATAACTCCTGTCTAATTCAGTGTTTCACTTCTCAGGCGCCACCACCTATGGAAGGTTGTGTTAGATACTGTCTTAATAATGTAATTAATTCTCTGATGGGGAGCAACGTTATTACTGCTTTCTCACTCAGAAAAGTCTCCCTTTGGAAAGCTGTGATTAACTTTCCTGTGCAATTGCATTTTCAGTTGCTGGGACTAAAAATGCAAAGGTTTATTAGTCTTTTCTTTTAGAGAACAAGAGATAAACTTATCTAAAGAGACATAAAGTATTACATAAACCCAGCAGTGGGTATTTTCAAGCAAGAGATCTGAGTGGAACAGTCGTCGTGCTCGATAGGGGTTATATATGGCCTGATTCTGCGGTGTGAAGGAATAGAAGGAGGTAAAGACAAATCAGTTCTTTACTGGTTGTAGATGTTGGATCATTCTCTCAGAGCTGAATCCCGAGGCTCCGGCAGTTACGGAGGGGCTATTTCAGGAGAGCAGGGAGAAGAGGTCAAACTGCCTGTGGGAGCTGGATTTTGCTGGCTGTTGGATTAGGAGGAAATGAAAATCAAATTTTCTTCAGGGAAAGCCTGGCCTGTCGAGGTGAGCCTGAAGCACATCTGCCCGCGGGGCTCCAAAATCTGGGGGAGAAAGTGCAGAACTGAGAGTCACTTTCCCTGGGGGCAGCTGAGGGTGGGGCATTGAGCAGAATGTTGACGTTACTCTCAGTCACTTATAGCCCTGTGGGCCCTTTCTTACTTGCTGCCTCTCTCACATACACCTTCACCTCATTTTGCCAGGAGCTGGTGGGATTTCTGCTGAGGCGAGAGGTTTTGTCTCGACTTAACGGAGGGAATTAGATCAATTCTTGAGAATAAAATTTGAAAAACAAACCCCACCCCCCTTCCAAATTACCGCACTGTTTTGTTTTGGGAATGAGTTTACCGAAACCAAAGGTGCCAGACTTTTGATGAGCTGCAGACCCTCACCCTAAACGGGACTCTCCTTCCTAAAATCTCTGCTGTCCAGTGAGTAAATCTCTGCTGTCCAGTGAGTACGTGCAGCTCTGAGCGGCCCCGGGATCGGAGCTCCCCAGGGCCTCACCGTGCTGCCCGCCCCGCGCTCCCGCCTCTCACGGAAACTAGGACACCAACAAACGTGGTTAGAGAGGGGTTGTTAATAAAACCAAATGAAAGTGGGTTCATCCCACACCTCCTGGGTTTAGGATATGAGACACTGGGGCTGGTAACTGGAGCTGAGGGTTAGATAATGGATGTCTGTGCAGGTTCTGCTCTCAGACCAGGAGCCTGCCGCGCTCGGGTGAAGAACAGCACGTGTCAGCGCCGATGGAAGCATGGCTTTTTCCCTCCAAACAGTTTTCAGCAATTAAATTTATTTGTGCAAGTGTCAAATGCCCAATTTTCTTACAGCCAGACACCCAAATGCTGGCAGCACAGGGATTGAATGCTGAATTTCTGCTTGTTCTGAGGCTGCTGTGGAGCGAGCAGGAGGGACAGCTGGTCCTGGTGTGCTGGAGAGAGCGGACTTTGCCGGTCCCACGCTCAGATCTGGGGGCTCCTGGGGGCTCCTCTGCTCTTCAGATGACCCCAGTTGCTGCTCCCAGCCTCAGGAAAAGTGGGGTTTCTCTGGGAAGGGCCGGGCGGTTCTGAGAGCTGGGAGAAGAGGAATCTCAGCGGTACAATGTGTGGGGTAGGTAGGGCTGGACGAGGAAATATAAATAGCACAGCTCAGCTTTTGTGCCTTGAGTGGGCCTTATACGGACGAGAGCAACGAGATTGTTGATCATGGGGAGGAGGGACGAATTTCAAACCCACGCACTGATGTGACAGATTCTGAGGCCAGACCTAAAGTGCCTCATTTTTAGGTCTGTGCCCTCAAAAGGGAGCGTGGAAAGGAACGTGAGCTCGGGGGTCTGCTAAGAGGCACGGGGCAGGGAGCACAGGGCACACATACCACAACCACCCCACCCTCTCTCCACTTCCCAAACAGCGTGTCAGCTGCCCCGAGCTATGTTTTTTTTTTCCAAATGAATCATTCTGGAAGAAAAACCTTATGAGCCTAATGAGCAGAGGGTTCATGAGAGCCAGTGCGATCTGCGGGCCCGGAGAGCAGCCTGTGTGCGTTACATACCTTGGGTTCAGTGGAGCTTGCCCAGTGACAAGCATTAAAAAAGAAATAGAAATTTCAAATAAAATGTGAATGATGGTGCTGGGGGTTGGCACTGGGCAGTGTCTGCTTTCCCAGGGGTCACGGCAGAGATTGGTGCTGCAGCAGCCAGTGCTTTTGTATTTATTTTCTAATAATACTTAAAAATAACAAGCTGGTTTTGTTTTGCTGTGAATCCACTCAAAAGCAGCTGCCCTTGTAGCCACAACATTCTTTAGCCCAGGCTCAGCAGAGAGTTACTGGGAGCTTCTGGCTGGTGGGTTCGTACGTCAATGACCTGCCGAATCCTGGGAGGCTCTGGTGTCATCAGGGGGGACAGAATGTTCCTCTGGTGCTGGATTTGCTTTTGCTTTATTTTATGCTGTTCTTCAAAAGAGGACCAAAGAGAATTCATCACGAAGCCTTTTTTAAAAAACACAAGAAATCTGAATCATACATATCGATACCATTAATTAAGAGTTGATGCTGTTCCTCTCTGATCCTTTGTCTTTTTTGCTGGAACAGAGGGGGCCCAGCCCAGACAGCTGTTGCATCTTCCCTTCTGTGCTCCTGCCTTTGGTCACAGAAGTAGCAAAATTAGAGGTGAAAAAATGCCATCCCAGGGGATGGAGAGAAATATCATTCAACCCAGTTCCTTTGGGCTGCAGCGCTGGATTCTCCATCCATCATAAGGGCACCGTGGCAACATCCTGTGCAAAGGATCCTTCATATTCTCTGCACGTTACTGAGTTATAAGAGTCTCGAGAT